AGGATGGCCCAGCACAGAAGATCAACATCATCAGGCCAGGACTCTGCGGTCTACACTCATCTCCAGGCCAGCGGTCACTCTTTCAGGGATGAAGATGTTCACATCCTGGATAGAGAGGAAGGATGGTTTGAGAGAGGAGTAAAGGAGGCCATCTTTGTGAAAAGAAATCGTCCATCATTAAACAGGGGTGGAGGCCTCCGGGTTCAACTGTCCCCCTCTTACAATGCTGTGATTGCTAGTATCACTCAGCCCTCTGTGAACAGTAAACAGCCATCAGTGTGCTAATGATCCATTGTTAGGCTGATGGTCCTTCTTGAGCATGTGATCAGCTGGTTTTGGTTGTCAGCAGCAAAACTGGTTGATCCACCCTGAGACGGTGCTATTTAAGAGACTGAGCTGAATACAGCACCTCAGACTGAAGAAGTCTCTCGGGTGAGAGACGAAACGTTTCTACATTTTTTGTTGATTTGCTTTGTTTTGTTTTTTTGAATGTCCAGAGGACCAGATTTAACTTTTTTAGATTTTTCTACCTGGATTATTGAGCATGCATCAGGATACACTGGTAAATGGTTTACTGACCATGGTAATACTGTGCTCAATTGGCCTGCCAACTCTCCTGACCTGAACCTGTGGGATACTGTGAAGAGAAAGTTGAGAGACGCAAGACCCAACACTCTGGATGAGCTTAAGGCCGCTATCGAAGCATCCTGGGCCTCCATAACATCTCAGCAGTGCCACAGGCTGATTGCCTCCATGACACGTCGCATTGAAGCAGTCATTCATGCAAAAGGATTCCCGACCAAGTATTGAGTGCATAACTGAACATGATTATTTGAAGGTTGGCATTTTTTGTATTAAAAACACTTGTCTTTCATTGGTGGGATGAAATATGCTAATTTTTTGGGACAGGCATTTTGGGTTTTCATGAGCTGTATGCCATAATCATCAGTATTAAAACAATTAAAGACCTGAAATATTTCAGTTGGTGTGCAATGAATCTGAAATATATGAAAGTTTCATTTTTATTATTACATTATGGAAAATAATGACCCTTATCACAATATGCTAATTTTTTGAGAAGGACCTGAATATATGTATGTATGTATATATATATATATATATATATATATAT